CTTAACTACATTGTAAACCCAACATACACTATAATGTCACCAGCATCAACAAATGGATCTTCAAACAAAACAAACGACAACTCCTTCCCAACCAACCACTTGCCTCATGAAACATTTTCTTCATTTAATTCACCAGAACCCGGTAACTACATAGATCCCAATGGAGTAACATGGTATGAAAAATTACGTTCCTTTAAGAATGAGTCAATCAATATTCATAATCCTTTCATCGAAGTCGGTCATGTGATGATTAGACCTGCAACCTTTGTTTCGCCTCTAGAGTTTTATTATCACCTACCAGAACCAAGTTAGTTGAAATCTTATTTCAAGGGTTGTGAGCTTAAAATATACTGTCGTTGGCATGAATTACGAGTGCCACAGGCACGTTCAGCTGAAATGTATGTGGAATGGTGCACAGATAACTACATCATTGCAGCACTAGCTCTTGAGAATGATCAGATGGAACGACGGCTAAATTGATTCCACCTTATTACAAAGGCAAATATTGAACATTCAGACGTTGTAGAGCCTATTAATGCAATACTTTCCGATCCATCCTTGGCTTCTGACAATGAACTCTCTGATTTTGAAGAATCAAGTGACGATGATTATTATGAAAAATTTCTCCCTGCTACTCTTTACTTATATGGCACACCACTATGTTGTTGGAAATATGTTCGTAATTAGAAATATTATGACTAATATGTCTATAGTATGTCGTGTAAAATAAAATCATATAGTTCTATTTCAACAAAAGACATAAAGTCTCTTCATTTTGATTGTTTTTTTATAATATTTTTATCGTAAAAGAAATAAATTCCCTTTCCCCCAGGTTTAGGGTTTGTTGCTTGGGTTTGGGGGGGTTCGATTGATATTCTCCTTTTGGATAATATTAGTTTCAACATATAGCGTTTTTAATGTTTAGAGTTTATTTCTTTTTTATTGTTATCATCATGTGTACAAGTTAGATAACTTTACAATACCGTAATTTAATTTTCTAATATGCTAAAAATAATTTTTCAACACGTTTAAAAAGTGTGATAGCGGGACGTAGTTATTAATTTTTTAATGTTTGTTTTAGGCTGGGGAATGTATGAATGGGCAGCACTTTGAAAGCGGATTTGAGAAATACGATTTCATTATAAAGCGTTCTCAACAGGTTTGCTTTCTGTTGAAAGTGTATCAACACATCCGCCTTATAATGAAAGCGGATTCAACATTAACCCATCCACTTTCATTGGAATGTAAGTAGACGTTTTCATTTTAAAAGCGGATTTGATAAATACGCTTTAAGAGTAAAAACGGATTTGATGATTCCGCTTTACCAATGAAGTCGTACTTTTTGATTCCGCTTTTAGATGAAGTCGAATTTGTTGATTCCACTTTTAAAAAGTGTGTCGTAGATTAGTAAATAAGTTCAAAACAATCACAAACTGGTAATAAAGTCTTAATCTTTCGTAGATTGGTAATAGATTCGCCCATTTGTTACATCAAATATTAACTATTCACGTTGTCTTATTTGCCAAAATTTGGGGGTCACATCCTGCTGATTGGACTAGTTGATCAATGAATAGTTAATATTAACAACAATTATGCCATTCAATATCTGTGAGTCATTTTAGTTGGGTCACTTTGATGACTACCAAACTATATCATAATATAGATCTCGAATCGAAATGATAATATTATATAAATAATAATTTTAATATCTCAATCATTGATATTAAATATCAATTATGTAATTCGATATCTATGTATCATTCTAGTTAAGTCACTTTGATAACTACCGAACTAAGTCATAATATAGATATCAATCAAAATAATAGTTTTATATAAATGATTAGATCAACAGTAACCATAATATATTAAGACATCATCATGAGTCCAATATTAAGGAGTAATTAAAAAATATCATGATATGTCATATCCATAAGGTCAATTGACAACACATACATGAATAGGATCTGATACAATAAACTATGATATCGTAGTTGTTCCAAGTTGGCCGACACAAGTGGGAAATGAGATACACCGCGAAACAGACAGTGCATAATGTACATCTCCACGGCTGCTCTTTAGATCATGCTTCGTTACAAATTAAGTGATTGCTATTTATGAAAATATATATCTTTAATAGAAAATCAAGAGAGTTAATACCATATTTGATAAAAAAAAAATCGAATCATTCGTTGGTATAGCCCAGAAATCGATTTCCCTCTCCTTACCTTTATTATTACGACACACAATTCCATGAAAAATTATACACTTATATGTAGAGGGAGAATCAATTTTCTAGTTTAACATAAACTCCACTTTTCATGAAAGTAGAATATCAAAAAACCATTTTTTTCAATTGATCAATCAAAAACTACTAATTATACCGATTAAGTTAAGATTTGTAATGTTATTATTATTTTACCTAAATTAATTATTTAATAATAATCAGGATTATGTGGACGACATTAATTCTTACAGTCACATCCTGCATCTCTTTGGCCAGTCGGTCAAAATTTGCCAAAGGCAAATTAGGCCACACAAGGTTAGATACCAAACCCACCTTTGGCACATTGGACACAAACCTGTGGGTATACGTAGCATAGGATATGACCCACCAGAAACGATATTTCTCACCGTTCATACCTTTTCATACACACGTCCTTCGGCCTTTTGCGTGAGAAAAAGATAAGACATATCGTCAAACACTTGGTGGACCCTTTTTGTGTTCAAAACCTTCACTACAAGCACTTGCTGTGATACCCAGAAGAAAAAGTAACTGTTTTACATGTTAGTCTTGGGACAAATTTATGGTACTGGAAAAAAATCTATACTGTACTGTCATTTATCACTTATGTAGGTAAAATCCATCCTAAACTCATAAAAATAGTGAAAATACTGACAAAAATAATAAAAAAATTTTGTTATAAAATGACCCAAAAAAATTATAAAAACACTCACTAAAATAGTAAAATTTAAAGGTACCAAACCCAAAAAAAATTCGGTACCGAAACTTTTTGTGTACCATGGACTTTATGATCTTGCTAAATTTCCAAAAAACACGCTTAACTAAATTAGTTTATTCAAGTCTTGCTAACGAGTGCTCTAAGGGAGTTCTTTTTGTGTAATTTAGGAAAAATTACATTTTGACCCCATTAACTATAATCCCGATTTTTGTTTTTTCATTTTTGGGAGGAAGAGAGAGAATTTGAACTTTTGACCTCAAGAAGACTAAAATATATATATATATAATTAAATTAAAGACCCGTTGGTATAATCCCGATCTCATTTTATGAAATTATATCATATGTGGTGAGTGATAAAAAATCTCGACTCATCTGGTCAGTTGCGATTCAGATCCTTGGGTATTGATTTCAGCTAATTTTCTCAATGGTAGATGATTATCTAGCATGAAATTCCGTAGAACTCATTGCATCAAGGGAATTAGTAGGTATTTATATAGAACTGATCAACATCAAATCAGAGCTTTCAATTAGTCTTAGAGGATCTCCAAATAATGTTTTCTATTTTAGAAAACATCTTTAATGAAAATTTAATATAGAGAGTAATTTTTTTTAATAACTCAAATAAAACTCTCTAATGAACTATATGTATCTGTTATTTTTTATAATTGAATATAGAGTAGAGTGTGTTTGACTCTATAGAAATGGGGAGTCTTTTAGAGACGAATCTTTAGTTGTTAGGTCTATGAAATAGTGAGTTTAGTGGTCATGCATGCGCCTAACTGTTTTATGCATAATTACTTATCTAACTTGTTCTCAAAATCCGAAGAGCTTCTTGGGTATGTTTGTTAGAAAGACTTGACTGCCGTATAGTTAAAAAAAATTCGGTATTATTTTCAAAGACTTTCTTCTCTCGTATCACATTTTTCAAATCTTTAGGAGGAATGAGGGCAAGATACCCTATTTATTGTGCTATTATTACTCACATTTTTCAAATCTTTAGGAGGAATGAGGGCAAAATACCCTATTTATTGTGCTATTATTACTCAAGATTAGAATCAGAAAATGTTCAATGTTAATACAGTGAGAAATAATGATTAAACCCACTTGAAATTGGGAGTAAAGTGAGAAATTAAGTTGCGAATCTCGTTCTTTGTATTTCCATCATAAGTGTAATTTTTGATCTAATTTTTTAAAACATAGAAACAAGAAAAAAAAAAGTGTAAATCAAGGCAGAGGCATCACATGTGCATCAAACTTGCAAATTTACAGCAAACTTTTAAAAACTGCAATCACCTTGGTTTGTCTTAATTATCATTTATTTGAATCATTATTTAATGTTACCTACCAAGAAAAAAAAAATCCATGTCATAGAGAACTTGAGCAGCAATTAGAGGGAAAGTAGGTGAGGATTGAAACAATTTTGATTGGTAGAGAGAGAATTGACATCTTTCACGCATCTTTCGTTGTCTTCATTCGGACTTTTTGAACCACGGACCACTAGCGAGTAACTTTAGTGTTGATTTCTGGGGGAAAGAGGACAATCCAGATGGGAGATGTTTAGTGGTTTGTTGAGGAAGAATTTTTTCTTTTTTTTTTTTTTTTGGGCGAAAGAAAAGGGGAGCAGCGATCAGTGTAGGTAGTAAATCATTAAGCGTGACATGAGGGATCCTAACCATCCAAGTTAACCAGTAAACCGCGTTATTCTTATGTATCGAATTTTACTTGATAATCACATGGGAGTCAACGATGATCCTAAATGAATATAGCTTACTACTAGACCATCAGTTCAGGTAGTGTTAGGGAAGAATTGAAAATGTAGTCTCCAGTATAACCCCTTAGAGTTAGGTCATATGCGATTTATCCTTCATAAATATTTAGTTTCGGCAAGAATGGTATGTCTTTGACCAATTTTTTGAAAAAAAAAAATTGAAGTACTCATAAATTAATTCAAATATCTCTAATTGTTGAACCTTATATATATATATTCACATTCACACTTGCTGGCCAATTAATTATAATAGTGAATCCCCGTATAAAAGAAGACACGCTCCCACTCCCACACCCACACCCAGAGAGAGAGAGAGAGAGAGAGGGTGAGTGTGTTATTGGTGAGAAACAATGGAGAGGAATGGGGAAGAAACCACTGAAAAGAATGAGAAAATTGTTGCTGATGATGAGCCTGAGATTAACTACAGAGGAATAAAGGCCATGCCTTTCATTATAGGTGAGAAAAATAGCTACTTTTTTTGCTCCTAACTCCTCTGATTTGCTTTATTTAATGTTTTTTCAGTAAACCCATACCTGGGTATAAACAAAAAATTATGATAATTGAGTGAATTGGGCTTGCAAAAAATTTCAGGAAATGAGACATTTGAGAAGCTTGGAGCCATTGGTACCTTATCCAACCTACTGGTCTATCTCACCACAGTCTTCAACATGAAGAGCATCACAGCCACAACACTTATCAATGTCTTCAATGGCACCACTAACTTGGCTACCTTGCTGGGAGCTTTCTTTTGCGACACTTACTTCGGTCGCTATAAGACGCTGGCCTTCGCTTCATTTGCCTCTTTTTTGGTACTATACAACTGCATTCAATCCTTTACAATCATGCATATAGATGATTGAGATAGAAGCCAGGAGATCAACTTCTTTCAAAAACTAACTAATACCCTAATTAGATATCTCTGATAGAAATACCATGAATGGTATCTTTACTAGAAACAGTGTTCGTGCTTATTGAGAGAATCCTCGATATCTAAGAAAGAGTTTAGAAATTACTAAATACGAGATTATAGAATGTAGTCATTAAAATAAAAAGGATTTGGCCGATGATAAATCTTCAAAAATAGTGACTGAGGCTCATAAGTATTAGAGATATATGATAGGATTCATATAGATCCATCAATATCCACAGTTGGGATAAGATGACGATAGATAGACTGATATATTTTATCTTTATCTTGTTTTTTTCTCACCAATCTTATGTAAAACAGTTACCTTCAATGCCGAAGCACGTAATCCTTTGTGTTTTATTTTTCTTTAATTTTATTTATCTCCAATTTCTTTTAATCATAAACTTCTTCAGTAAGTTCCCTTCCTTGCATATCTAAGTCTTGGTGTTTTTTGCACTCCTCTTGTGCAGGGTTTGCTTTTGATAACACTAACAGCAGCAATCAAGAGGCTTCATCCTCCTCACTGTGAAGCAGAACAAATCAAATGCATAGGACCAACACCATGGCAAGTGGTTTTTCTACTAAGTGGATTTGGACTGATGATAATCGGAGCTGGGGGCATCAGGCCGTGCAACTTGGCCTTCGGCGCCGACCAATTCAATCCGAAAACCGAGTCTGGTAAAAGGGGAATCAATAGTTTCTTCAATTGGTACTTCTTCACCTTAACATTTGCTCAACTCATATCAGTGACCCTCGTCGTTTACGTGCAATCAAATGTGAGCTGGGGTATTGGGTTGGGAATTCCTGCAATTTTCATGTTGGTGTCATGTGCTCTCTTCTTCATGGGTACAAAGATTTATGTGAAAGTGAAGCCTGAGGGCAGTCCCATAACAAATATAATCCAGGTCATGGTGGTTGCCGCTAGGAAAAGGCGGTTGAAGCTACAGGATCAACCATGGGAATCTCTATTCAATTATGTGCCATCTAAGTCGATCAATTCAAGGCTCCCTTACACAGATCAATTCAAGTAAGCAATTACATGTTTTGTTGATTGTGAATCTCTTGCCTCTTGATACTACATTTCTATATATTTGAAGGCCACTATCAGTATTATTTAGCAAATACTAGAGTTGAATTGAACCCTAAATTATTACGGGCACACTTTGAGAAATTTAAAAAATAAATAAAAAATAGAATTGGGAAAGAAAACCTGTTTTGAGATTGGTTTTCTGCCCATTTTTTTTGAGTAAAATGTTAAATGTTTTTAAAATCCCTATCTCTTTAAGAGTATGAGTTTTTGTTATTTAACATTTTACTCAGAAAAAAAATGGGCAAAAACCAATCACTATAATTTAGGTATTATTGAGGGATTTAATTGAAATAAAACAATTAAAATTTTAAGGATTAATTTAAAATCCAAGACAAAATTTAAGGGTAATTATGATAATTACCTAAACAATTATTAATTCATTGATTTATTCAAGCACTAACATTTTAATTCATTTAAAATGTCCTTACTTGTTTTTGGGGTACTCTCCTTTACAAAAGACATGAAATTATATGGGTGTTGATATTTACAAAAGCACGGAATATGAAGGCTTTTAAAGACGTCACACAATTTGACGTGTTTAAAAGTCAGGTAATGTAAAGGCGTCAAACAATTTGACGGCTTTAATAAAAACGTCATACCGTTTGACGTTTTTAGGATTGATGTGGGCTAAAATTTTTGTGTTAAAAACGTCAATTAATTTGATATTTTTAAATTAAAGACGTCAATCCAATAATATTTTTTGACTTAAAAACGTTACGGAGTTTGAAAAATCTTTTGAAAGCATGCCTTGGGACTTTTTTCTAAAATTCCCCGATGGGTCAAAACCTCCTACCCAACAAATCTGGGTGGACAGCACTGCCTCAATCACTAGGCCACCATTATTGGGAAAAGCAGTAAAGTTTAAAATATAAAAGTAGATATTTTGCTACCGGACCGTCAAAAAAATTACCGTATCTTACTTTTAAAATTTCTTATTTTAAAAGGTGTTTTTATAATTTTTATAAATTATTTTATAATTAAAAATTTTAGTATTTTGTGGGTGATTTACCATTTTAGTTAGTGTTTTTATTACTGTCGTGAATATTTTTATGGGTAATTATCATTTTTGTGGGTCTTTTTTTGATTTTTTTAAATATTTTTATTATTTTTGTGATAATTATTTTTATTATTTTTTTTAGTATCACAATAGTGATAAAAATACCCGCAATAATAATAAAAATATTTACAAATATAATAAATTTATGTATAATACCAAAATTTTATTTTTCAGAACAATAATCAAATCCACTAATTTCATTATGTTGATTTAGTTTATTTTTTTACAAATAATAACTATAAGTGCATTAAACAAATATGTACGCGCAAAAATCATTTTCGATATGATATCGAAAATCTCTTTCTCGGTACAATAACCTTATCTGTAAAACTGTTGCCAACTGGCCGGTCCCTTTAGCAAGAATCTTCACACAGAGAACCAATTTCAATTATTCATCTAATTTTAAATTTAATTAGTTTAATAAGAATTAATATTTTTTTATCAATAATTCGAATTCGAACTCAAATCCATAATCTTATCTTTCACCAACTCTGATTTGTATGTCTATATCCATTTTGAGATTTGTACATATTTTTATATAAATATTAAAGAAATTTAGATAAAATTTATTAAGATTTAATTAAATTAAATTATTTGGATTCAAATTCATAGCTGTCACAATCTGACATGTCGATAAGCCTACCCCACGCGGTGTTCTATTGAGAGAAGTCGAGGAAAAACTTGACACGATTCTCTGGTTGACTCGGCCGACTTAGGTGTTGAACTGCTCCTATGCCTTTCAACTGACTAGTCTAAAAGTAATACTAAAAGTTTGAAAAAGAATAACAAGGTTTTTAAGACACATTAAAATCAAGAAAACACCTGCACTTTATACTTATAACTATGTCCATCTGTATCAAGCTAATATGCAATTTTCACAAAATCTTTTTTTTTTTTTTGTTTAATAGTCCGAGGTGTTTAGGTCAATTTACGCACTTCTCGAGTAATTCCATCCTCAATTTGGTCAAAAGTATGCCATCCACGTGTCAATGAAGGTATTCATAAAGGATAAATCTCTCCCCATAAAATTGTCATTGTCTGTCCCCAAAAAATTATCAAAATTTGAATTCAAAACGACTGAATTTATAACTCGTCTTTATTATCACTTGAAATATCCTTTACAGTTGTTTTCAGAATTACTCACTCACTCTATATAGTAGTAAAGGAGAAAACAAAAACAAAGCAAGCTTATCAGCCTATCACAAGGTGATGATCAGTAACCAAAATCCCAGCCTTGTTCCTAAGAGATGAGATTGTAGAACATCATACTACTCCAAAAATGACAAAAAACAGTATCACACCACAAGCAGTTCTGTATCGACAATGATGGTAAAATTATTTGAAATATATTTGAATTCAAGCTCTCTCGTTAACTAATCAGAATGATCACCATTATCTTACCAGATTGCTCAACAAAGCAGCGATGGTAACACCAGAAGACCAGATCAACACAGACGGTTCGGCTGCGAATCCATGGAGGCTATGCAGTATACAACGAGTGGAAGAAGCGAAATGTGTGGTGAGGGTGATTCCTATATGGGCTGCAGGTATTGTATACCATATTGCAATGATTCAACAGCAACAATATGCAGTTTTTCAGGCACTTCAATCCGATAGACGTCTTGGCAACAGCAACTTTAAAATACCAGCCTCCTCCTACACTGTCTTCGCCCTCCTGAGCTTCACCCTCTTCATACCCATTTATGACCGGATCATAGTCCCATCTCTCCAAAGGGTCACAAAGAAAGAAGGCGGCATAACTCTACTCCAAAGAATTTGCATTGGCATAGTCCTCACCATATTCGCATCCCTCATATCTGCCTTGGTTGAAGAACATAGGAGAACTTTGGCTCTCACTAAGCCAACACTAGGAATTCAGCCGCACAGAGGTGCCATTTCATCCATGTCAGGTTTATGGTTCGTTCCTCAGCTTGTAATAACAGGAATTGCTGAGGCATTTACTAGTGTTGGCCAAGTTGAATTTTACTACAAGCAGTTCCCAGAAAACATGAGAAGCTTCGCAGGGTCTTTGTTCTTCTGTGGCATGGCAGCCTCAAGTTATTTGAACAGTTTCTTGGTGTCAATAGTTCATCGTACGACAAAAGGGGCTGCAAATGGAAATTGGTTGCCAGAAGATCTTAACAAAGGGAGATTGGATTATTTCTACTACCTGATTACTGCCCTGGGGGTCCTAAATTTGGTATATTTTCTACTATGTGCTAAGTGGTACAAGTATAAAGGGACTGGAAGCAGTACTGTCACAGTTGAAATGGAAACAAAGAAACAGGAAAAACCTCTGGTTTGATAACTGAAATTCACAGAAGATATCGGCTTAACTTAAAATCTGGGCTTCATATTGGAACAGTAGTACACACTTGATTGATTTGATATCAATACAAAGATGTATTACATAAGTATTCTAACCTGCATAAAAACTTTGATGCTGTTGAGTCTCCATGTTCTTTTACTCCGATTTGTCAGAAGGTTAGAGACTAAGAGATACATAGCTTGTACATGCAGAGACTTAGTATTAGCCCTGTAGCATCTCCCTGCCTCTTGAATTTTAGGAATTATTACAATTCAGGTATCCAACAGCTTTATTCATATGCTTTTGATAGACATTAACACTAAGCTGTCAGCTAGGTTCATTAACTCCATTGATGTTGAGCTAGGTCATGGTATTTGATTCATCTAAAAACAGAAATGCTTGCAAAAAAGGAATTGTGTATAAGACTTCACTGCAAGGTCGGAGAAATCAGATATATACAATCTCTTTTCGGGTAAGTACAGATATATACAATCTTACCCCGCATGTAAGGAGCATTTCCGTCACTTAAACCCATGACAGGGCGGCATGATATAAAGTTTGCAGTTTACCCAAATCCATTTCATGGATGGAGTGATGCTTTGACTAATAATCCGTGGTGGAAGGTTGTTCAACTCCTATCCTAATATTAATTTGACTCGGGTGATGACCATCAGCACTTGCACCTTCTACACTAAACCTTACATATTACACTAATGGCAGCAAATACAATCAGAGGCTCAAAGGGCTGTTAGGGTGGGTATCACTGCCGGTCACAGTGATGCAACATGTTAATAGCATTACAATGTCAACTCGCCTGTACGAAGGTGTTTTCACAAGAAGATTTGATTCTAGGAGAAATCTCTGTTGGTCCTTTCTGAGCAGAGAAGCTGGTTGCCTTTTAAGAGCAAGAGCAACTCGAAGAAGACTATCTAAAATAGTTATCCAAAATATACTTTTTTATTATAATATCTATTTTATAGACTAACTTCTACTAATTCACTCCAACTACGCTCTCTATTTTATTTTAGGTAACTACTAGTAATTGCCCGTGCCTGAAGGCACGGCGTAACGAAAAATTAGATTAAAACTCTAAAAATATTACATTACCTAATAACTTACGATCAGACATAACGTTATCATGATTTACCATATCACCACAGTAATTAATACATATTCAATCATCAACACATATCCAACCACCAAAACATCAAGTTAATCCCTACTAATTTCAAGAAATTTATGCAGAATTTCCTTTAAAAATATATATCCAGAAAAATATAAACTTGTCTACAAAACTTACAATCATCACTACATACCCAAACCACCAAAACAACCATCATTCCATACCCAAAATCATCATAATTATGTATAATTAGTTAACTTTACAAAAGACAGAACACAAAAAATACACACATGCACAAAATAAAGAAACAACTTCATATTCTTTACAACTTACACCAAGTATCCTTCAATGTATATCTGAAAATATTTGAAATATAAAAATTATCGAAATAAGTGAGTCAAAATAAAATAATTGTAAATCCGAAACATAAGACCCCTTACTTTTTTCGTTAGTTGGATTCAATATAATTAAATACATTACCCTGAATTATCTGAAAAACAAATGAGCACACACATTTGTATGTAGTAGGGGGGAATGATTTAGATTGATATAAGTAAGAATTTAGAGAGTTTGTAACAAATTATCAATTTATTTAGGAAAAGATATGGAGGAATGTAGAGACTTACAATCAAATAAGATTTTCTTAGTATCATTTCAACAGACGGTTCATTTGCTTAATGATTTCAATCATAAATCTGTATTGGTGACAGTATAATGGTGTGTGAGTTTGATTTGCGAGTGTTTGATTGCTTACAGTTATGTGTTTGTGTTTGTGCATGTATTGTGTGTTGTGTGTCTACATGAGAAATAGAGAAATATAAAGTCTTAGTAAGAGAGACTTTCATACCTAAACAATTGTTTGGTCAGTGATGAGTTAGTCATCGTCAAAGGTGGACAGGTCGGTAATGGATTGCATATCATTTAACTCTCTTAAATGTCTTATTCATCCCTTTAAACCTTCTCTTCATCACTATCCTTAATGTCCTCGTATCAATACGAACGCACTTTGCCCAATGAGGAGAATGCACAACCACCTAAATTATTCACATAAACAATAAAAGTAACACAATATTTATATTGTAGGAATAGTAAAGTTATTTTAATGCAGTGACATAAATTAGATTTACTTGATTACGTCGGCCCCATCCACAAAGGTCCATTGTATATACACTATCGTTCTCGTTGACAAATTCACTCCAATTCTATAAAGAATGAATCTCATTGTAAAACTAAAAGTTGAAATGTTGAAAAGATTACATAATTCAGTAGAAATAAATTTGTTTAAACTATACCATTTACTTGTCGTAAGAATCTTATAACAAAATTTCTGGGTAAACAATATTTGTAGTGCAATTCGCCCATCTTCTGGAAGGAGGACTGTAATACGATCCGAAGATGTGCATCTAGATAGTGCCACATAAAGGTGTCCATGACTAAAAACAGGTGTCCGCAAATCAATCCCAACGAACTTGACAGATTGTCCTTGGGCTTTATTGATTGTCATAGCATAAGTTAATCAGACAGGAAACTGACGTCTTGTCATTCGAAAAGGCAAGTCCAAAGATGTTGGTGTCATTGATATTCTCGGAATGAAGACTAAATTGCCAATTTTATCTCCATTTAATATCTGAGCTTCGATTACCCTTGAGGCACATCTAACAACCATCAATCGCGTGTCATTACAAAGTCCATCCTTTGGTGCAATATTTCGTAACAACATTATTGGGCATCCAACTTTCAACTCCAATTTAAACGGTGGCAACCCTGAAGGATTCAGCGAGTTTAAGTACTCATTAGGATATCGATTCCTAATGGTACGGTCAAGCTCATTACCTTCAGACATTTTATCTGCAGCTAAAAAAGTAATTGTCTCTCCCGGAGTAATATTCAGTGCTACAGCATTTATATCACTGACGTCGTCATTACGTGCAGAGAGAATTGTGCGTTCAGTGAGAAAGGTTGGAGTCACTATACCAATCACATCCAATTGTGGATAGATTCTAAATATCAATTCATTTAGATTGTGACACCGGTTTATTGTAGATGAAAGTTGCACAATTTCATATGGATTGGTCCCAATCTAAAAAATGAAAGTATAATTAGTCACAAAGTGAGATTTAATTCAAAGCATCATGTTAAAAAATTCAACAATTCAAGGTGGAATGAAATATTACCTCCATCAAGAATTTAGCAAAATTAGTATTTCGAACGTCAGTGCGAGTTAATCGCATGTTTAAACCTAGAGTCAAAACACATATATCTTTCCATAGCAAAGACCGTCTCAATGATGCACCCACAATTTGCTCACAAACGCCTTTAGGAATAACAGGCAATATTTGTCGAAAGTCTCCACCCAGGACAACAGTGATACCCCCAAAAGGTCTTTTATCGTCTCTGATATCTTGAAGGGTGCGATCGACTGCCTCAACACAGTATCGATGTTGCATAGGAACTTCATTCCATATTATCAGCTTTGTTTTTCTAAACAATTCGGCATGCATTGATTGTTTAGTGAACCCACATATTGAATTGTCTAGGGTTTCCAAAGGAATACAAAATACAGAATGTGCAGTGCGCCCCCCTACCAATAACAACGATGCAATACCAGATGAAGCCACAGTAACAACAATATGTCCATAGCTACGCAATTTGGTTGCAATGGTATTGTACAAAAACGTTTTTCCCGTCCCAGCACCTCCACTCAAAAAAAAAGTAGTTGCTATGTTTTCACATACTAACGTTGTGACAGCAGTATAAGCAGCAAGTTATGCATCATTAAGGCCGTCAACATTAATTTGTGCTTCATTCTGAAGTTGTTGATGCTCAAATAGTAATCTATTTCTAACTGTTGCATTCCAATTTCCAATTGGTTGTGGCATGGGTGGAAAGTCAACTAAACTCTTCCCCGACTCATGGAGCAATTGATTGATCAAATATAAGTCATAATCTTCAATATGATCATCAGGTGGATTCAAAATACCAAACATAGTACAAATCTTGTGTGCTAAATCATCACATATATGTGCTGAGAATTGCTTCCACAATGCAAATGGATGCAATGGACACATATATGTGCTGAGAATTGCTTCCACAATGCAAATGGATGCAATGGAAAGCATTCCGTTAGAATTATAGCAAATAGTCTTCTTAATTGGTACCCTGTTCTCATAATTGCAGCCTCTTGAAGACATTGTATCCATTCTTTATCATCTTCAAGAAGTCCTCTTACAACACATGTTGACTTGAATGTATCGTGCATAACATTATTTACCGTGCGTAGCCAGTCAAATGAAGTAGGTCCTCTGACAACAGTTAGAAGCAAACGTAAATAAAACTGCTCACCTGAATTAGGGCTAGCAAAGTACATTCTACCAATTGCATAACCTCTTTGTCTTGGAGTCCATTTATTGATAGACTTGTTCCAAATAAATTTTTGTGAAAATTTCTGATAAGTTAATACACGTGCAGATTCATTTACAGCGCAACAATCAAAAAAGCCAATTAGAGTTGTTTCTTGATGTGCACCTTTAGAAAGGATCGTATCAAAAGATTCAACAGGGTTAAAGATCACACGATGCATCCCAGGCAAATGAAGTGTCAATCTTACAACTGACGGAATCTCTTCATGTAAAGGATTACCAAACAATCGCCACACAGCTTCTGGAGGTCCAATATACCTAACATCAAGATATTGTTGGATCTCATTAATTCCTCCAAGTACCATTGTTGCGCGATCATGTCCTTTATAAATATACTTGTGAATGTATTTTACACATCTGATTCCTACACAAACTTCAACATTGATATGACAGTTGAACATTCTTGATAAGTACAGATTATGTGACACAACATCTCTATTATCAATTTTTTGCCCCCTCACGATGTACTTCTGACCAGTATTACGACAACGATAGACAGGATATCCATCAGAGTTCATACTTGTTGATTCAACAAATGACTGAGGGTACCGCTTGGTACACACCCCATTTTCCATACATGATGCTTGTGGATTTCGAGCACCACATGGTCCGTGTATCATGCAACCTATGATTGTTTCAAAAAGCAATGGGTCAGTTTGACAATCCAAAATTCAGCACACACTACTCTGTCCACTTGAGCACATGTTTGAATTTTATCAGAACCATGAAGGAACAAAAATGCATGCATGTGCGGTAACCCCTTTTTTTGGAATTCAATTGTAAAAACATGTGCCACTTTTCTACCAAAAACGTTATTTGTTTCTATCTCCTTCATCAAAAAATTTCGCTTCAACTCAAAAACACGGGCCACTAAATCAGGACGGTCAGTAGGGATCTGATTTGGCAATAGTGAATTAGTAATTTCAGGCCATTTGGGATCTGCAGTTATAGTTAAAAAAATATCAGGGTGTTGATTATACCGCATGATAGCCATTGAATCTTGAAAAATTTCAAACATATGTCTTGCACTACCAGTGAATGAAGATGGCAAAACCATTCGTTGATCAACTTGTTCAGGACCAAGCTCATCTGCACAAACATCTGTAAGACCTTGGTAAAGTTCTACACGAAGCTTCGATTGATTCAACTTGTAGTATGTCAACCGATTTTGTTCAGTAGCGGCCCAAGCATCTACTACAAATTCCTGAAATAATTTTTCAGCTCTCAAAATCGTTGAATACTCAATGTCACGTTGGAACATATGATAATTGTAATATTGCAACTGTGTCAGTCGAGTAGATGAAGGTCCACCTTGGGAAGTGTTCCACTATTTCAAATCTGGATTTCATCCTAGCTCACCATAAGGGAACAATACCACATAATGCAATGGCAAATAGGCCAGATGACACTCATTAATTTGCATCAAACCGTTATCTCCTCTTAAATGTAACACAATATCTCTCATTCCACTTGATTCAGTTCCATCTCCCGGTAATATTACCGCAATCTCATCGGTTG